GGAAAGAGTTCAGTGATCGGTTAGTGGTGTCTTCCACAGGCAGAGGTGGGAGTGATGGTGGTATGTATGCCGAGCTGTTGCTCAGCTTTGCTGTGGCAGGTGTGCAGAGCATCCATATAATCAGTCATCAGCAGATAGGAATAGGGGAAAGGAGATAACGTCTCTTGGACCCCTGTTGCATGTCACGTCTTGTATTGGGGCCTGGAGATGCAGAGCTAAGACGTGAATCCCAGCCCTTGAGGAAATCACAGCTTAGTGGAGCTGTAAATACGTGGACATGAAGAACCATGATAAACATTGTGAGGGAGAGAGAGAAAGTGCTACAAGGTTCAGAGAAGGGATTCAGCTCTCCAGCAGGGAGATCACTGAGAAGCAATGATACAGGAGGAGCCCACACAGGGAGGACTGTGCGTGTGCCATGAAGGCAGAGGGAGCAAGGGTGGTCCAGGAAGAGGGCCTGGCCTGGGCACAGGCATGGAGATGGGAAAGTGCCGGACATGTCAGAGTTCGGAGGGTCACCCAGCGTGGCTGGAAGATGGGAACAGCGTAGGTGCAGTCGGAAAAGAGTCTGAGGGGAGAAGTCAAGGTGGCTGGTGGAGGCGTGTGCAAGTGTGGAGGCTGAAGACAGCTGGGTGCGAAATCCAGGGGGTCAGACGCGCTGTTGTCATCAGCGCCCCCCCTCCGGTGTCCGTGGGCTCCCTGCTCTTTGGCATTTTGGCATTTTGTACGTACAGTGAGATTTCCCTCACTGTAGCCAAAAAACAGAGGTGCTTTGGAGTCGGCGCCCTGTCGTGACGTAGCAGCAGATGGGCTGGGCTGCCTACACTTCCCTTTAGGAGGGATATGCCTCTGCTTCCAAAAGGGAAAATCTAGGTCAGGAAGGGCTGTGTCTTCCCTCCTGTGGTGAGCTCCTGCACATGGCCCCTGCCTGGAGAAGCAACTGGAGTAGCCCACGGCCAAACGCCCTCCTGGCTTTCTCCAAGGGCCAGGCTTGATGCTACGCCAAGATGCAGGCTGGCTGTTGTCTCTCCATCTGCCTGTGGACACTGCACCAGGCCTGCTCTGGACTAGTGGCCTCCACCTCACACCTGCTAGGCTCGGGCTAGGACTCTGCCTGAGCCATGGACAGGCAGGTCCAGATAACCCAACCCCGACGCAGAGCTCAGTGGCTGTGAGTGTTCCTGAAAGATGGACTGGGGCTCTGCCTCTCCCTCCCCGCTGGTGCCCCTCAAGCTCAGGCCTCATCACCTCCCAGCTCTGCCATTCCATTCTCCATCTGGCAGCCAGAGTGATCCTATTAAAATATGTTTGATGGTGCCAGAACCCCTTTTTGCAAAGTCTTCCATGAATCTAGATGGCCTTCAGTAGAATCTGGAAAGTACTTATTGGTTGTGAGGACCAGCGAAGGCTACTTGGAGGAGGGCAGCGTTCGTTTGGGGTTTATGCTCACATCAAACCATTACCACAGTTCCTCACACAGGTCATAGCTGGAGGTATGGTTTCCAGGAAAAGCCAGATCCCACCACCCCGCCAATCCAAAATGGGACCCACATACCATCCAACACACAGTGTGAAACACCACCATCCCCACCTCTCCCCAGCCCCTGGCTACCACCATTCTGCTTTCTGAATAGAGCTTTTTCGGGAACAGTTTTAAATGTATAGAAAACATTGAGAAGATTATACAGAAGGTTCGCACGCATGCCACAGTTTCCCGTTACGAACATCTTATATTAGCGTGGTACATTTGTTACAGTAAAGAACCGATATTGATGTAGTATTGTTAACTAAAGACCATAGTCCATTCAGATTTGCTTAATTTTTGCTTAATGTTTTCTCCAGGTTGTCATCCAGGATATCGCATGACTTTTATTTTTGTTTGTTTGTTTGTTTGTTTTGGTTTTTTTTCCACACACACACACACACACACACACACACACACACACTGTATTTTATTTTTACAAGAGATAAATAAACTGACACCAAGCATTGTAAATGGGTGGCCACAACAAAAGCAACAATGATTGCAATTACCGAACCTGAAACACACTCACACTATGTCATAATATTGACTTTCAGTCCAGTCATCCTCCACTGTAACAGCTCCTTTACTTTGCAGTGAAAATTGATTTGTATATTTGTATGTTTTTTGCCTCTGAATCCTTGTGGGATTTTTTTTTTTATTCAAACAGAAAGTCACAAAAATTATAATCATCCTCATCAGTTCACTCAGTCCCATGTAATTAATTTCCTTTTCATTCTTGATCTTTTGTTAGCACTTTGATGAATTCATCAGTTTTCCATTAGAGCTCTGAAAATGCTTATTCATTCAGTTCAGCAGTATATGGTCAGTTACCAGAAACCTGTACTTGTCAGAGTCTTTTCCATGAATTCCTTGAAGATGAAACCCTTTTATAGGAACATTTTTGCAAAAGCATCATAGTATACCCGGAACTGTCTGTAAATGGCAAAAGACTTAAAAATGACCACGGTTAAAGATTTGATGAAAGTTCATAATAATGCAGTTGACAAGGAAATTTAGTTGTTTCTGAGATATACATTTTAAAGTAATAACTAGAATTATGACTTATAACATTATACCAGAACATATAAGATTTTTAGATATTTATCGCATCACTTTTAGATGTCATGTTTCCTTAGGCTCCTTTGACTGTGACAGTTTCTCAGGCTTTCTTTGTTTTTGATAACTTTGACAGTTTTGAAGAATACCAATCAGTTATAGTGTAGGATGCCCTCTGTTGGGATTTGTCTGATGTTTTTCTCATGATTAGACTAGGTTTGTAGTTTAGGCAGAAGATCACAGAAAGTACTACTCTCATCATATCATGTGAAGGGTACATACTGGCAACCTGTTGTATGACTATTGATGTTGACCGTGATCACCTGGCCAAGGTTGTGTTTGTCGGATTTCTCCATGTAAAGTTCCACCCCCACCTGCCCTGTCCGGACTCTTTGGAGGAAAGTCACTATGCACAGCCCACATTTAAGGAATGAGGAATAATGCTCCCTCTCCTTGAGAGCAGGGTATCTACCTAAATTATTTGGAATTCTTCTGCAAGGGAGATTTGTCTCTTCTCTTTCATTTATTAATGTATTCACTAATTCTAAATAAATTATTTATAACAGTAAGAATTCACGTATATTTATTTTATGTTTGAGTTCTAATCCCATCTACTTTATTTTATTTCTCAACTTGTTCCATCTTTGGCCACTGCGAACCTGGCCAGTTGGTTCCTGTGCCTCTTTCACATACCCCCATTGATGTGGGTTTGGGTGGGGATTTTTATTTTGTTTATTTATTTTTTGAGCACTTCCTTACTTTCTGGCACTACAGGATGCTCCAGGTTCTTGTTGTATATTTCCTGCCCCAGTCCTAGAATCAGCTATTTCTCCAAGGAGGCTTGGTTCCTTTAATTGGTTAATGGTATTAGAAACCAAGATGTGGGCACCAGGTTTGCTCATCGCTATTGGGGTATCATTTCTTCTAGAGTCTCTTAGCTGTAGAGCAAAGTAATAAGTGTGTATATACCAACCTGTGTATATACTCATATCTATAGCTATTTCTATATATAATTAAGTTAGATATGAGTTCTTACTGATGTCTTCAACTCTAATTCTTACCAAACGGATCATTCCAGCCTCCTTCCCTGGCTTATCTGTAAATTTCCACTCCAACAGGGAGAAACCTGGCTCCTGCCATCCAACATCCATTTATTTAATTGATCAGTTTACCTTCCTTCTTGAAAAATATTTTTCCTGGGTGTAGAAATCTGGGTTGACCAGTATTTTCTTTCAGTACTTTAAAGATGCCATGCCACTGTCTTATGGCCCGCCTAGTTTCTGATAAGAAATCTGCTGCAATGTTTATATTTATCCTCTTTATGTAAAGTGTCCCTTTTTTACTAGCTGCCTTCAAGATCTCTTTACATTTGACTTTCAGAAGTTTGACTATGATATCTAAGTATGTGTGTTTTGGAGGGGTGTGGCATTTATCCTGTTGTGATTCTTAAACTTCCTGGACCTGTGGTTTGTTGTTGTTCATTAATTTTGGAAAATTCTCTTGGATGCCCTGTTCTTCCTCCCCACCCCCCACACTCTATTTTCTCTTTGTGTTTCAGTTTGGTGAATCTCAACTTACCTATCTCCAAGGAATTCTTCATTTCTGATACCACATTTCTTATTTTTCACATTTCCATCTGTTCATGCATGCTGTCTACCTTTTCCACTAGCTCCTTTAACACATGAATCATAGTTATTCTAATGTCCCTGTCTGATGGCTCCAACATCTGTGTCACCTCACATTCTGGTTTTCTTGAATGCTTTATCTCTTGAAAATGAGTTGGGGTTTGTTCCTGTTTTTTGTGTTTGCCATAATGTTTGATCAAATACCAGACATTATGTGTAGGAGAACTGTAGAGACTGGGGGAAATAGTGGCTACCTCCAGAAGTGGACATGCTGCTTTTTCACTCATGCCATTCATGTCGAGGGTGGGAGTTGCATCAATCCAGTCAGTAGTTGAGCTGGGTTTAGGTTTCGTTGTCACCATCCTCGCCTTCAGAGCCCCACAGACTTCACGCTCCTCCAGAAGGGGGCTGCCGTTACCTGATGCTGGTTGTTGGGCCTGAGGTGCTGGAGAGTTTTTCTCATGTTCCTGCTCCATCTTTGGAGATCTCTTGGTTCTTGCCCCTTCCCCTTCTCAGGGGTAGACCACTGTTTCCTGTTACGCCGTGCTAGGCTCATAGGCCACAGCTCTCCTGGACAAGCCTCGGTCTTAAGTAGGGCCTGTGAGCCAGGCTCTCTCAGCTTTCCTGCCCCTCCTCTGCATGGTGGCAAAACTCTGCTATGTGTCTGTGGTGGGTCTTTGACAGGTTTCTGCTTTGTGCTGGTGCACAGTCCTGGGCCTGAGAGGTTACCCACCTCTTCTTGGATCAGATATCTTTTCCTTCTGCCCTTTCCCGAGAAGCAGTGGGCGGCTCTTTGCCTGGGCTCTGGGAGTGGGAGGGTTGCCCCACCTCCCCCAGTGGCTGAAGGGTTTTGTACCAGAGAGGGGCCTGTGGAAGTGGGCAGGGTTTTACTCCAGCCCCCAGTGGTAGTCTGCTTGCCTTCACCACCAAGAGGGGGTTCTCTCTGGCCCCAGTCTTCCTTGTAAGTACCTGGCAGAAACTCCTGGGAAAGAGCTTGCAAGTGACTGCAGATGCCCCTTGTGTCTGGGGCTCCCTGTTACTCTGAGCTGTCCCAGCAGCCCACACCTGACCTTTAAGAATCTATCAACATTTTAGCTGCTTTCTTCTCACCTTTATTTATCCCAACCCCCTCCTCCCCATGTGTTGCCAAAGGCAGAATAGCTCGTTCCTCTTGTGTTTCCATGGTGGGGCTGTGGTCCGTCTTTGGGACTCAGTTCACCCAGTGGCCTTGGGACCCCACCTCTCCCATAGGCATAAGAAGAGTTATGCTCTTGCAGACGATATGGCTTTTTCTCCCTGTTAGGTTGGGGGCATGGTTTCCTTGCAGCGCCTACATGATAAGCGGAAGTGGAACGACTTATATACATTTCTAATGGGTAGGATTTTATGCCCTAAACTGGGGACAGTGTCAAGGCCTGAAATTCAAGACAGTTTCTCTACACACAATTTTCACCTTGTTCATTGACTTTAGAAACAACCCTGCAAAAGGTTAAGGGGCATGTGCCCCATGGGTTAGGTGCTTGTCATTTCTAATTTTACGGGATGCTGTGCATGGGCTTGGGGGCATGTCACCTTACGTATTGTGGATTTCCAGTGAGGGATGACAGGGAGCTCCCAGCACGCTTGTTTTTCTTGAGGGAGCACAGAGCGTTTCCTCCACAGGTGCTACGGTTTTTTGGTTATTCTCTCTCAGGCCCTGCCCGCCCCCCGCCCCCGCAAAGGGCGCAAGCCCACAGAGCCAGTCCGGCCTTGGACATCTGTCACCTCTGGGTTATTGAGGTCTGGATGCTCCAGGCGTTACGGGGGACACAGACTAGAGTAGGAGCAGAGGCCGGGAGACAAACAGGTATCAGACGGCACAGCGAGGCCACGTGACCATCTCCATGGCCTGCAGAAAGATGACAGTGTCAGACCCCAGGCCCAGAGAGACTAGCCTGCTTGTAGGCAGTCCACACAGGTGGCATCCTGCAGACCCAGGCTCAACTCCTGGTCCTGCCACCGACAGGAGGTCAGGTTGGGAGCGAGTCCCTTCTGGGCTGCATTTCCTCCTTTGAAGTGGAAACAATGCCACTCCTTACAGAGGAGATGAGGCGTCCTGACCATCTCCCCCTCGCCCTGCTCCCGCCCGCAGGAAAACCTACAGAAGCTGGTCCACATCGAGCACAGCGTTCGGGGCCAAGGGGATCTCCTCCAGCCAGGAAGGGTGAGTGCCACCACTGCTGCCAAGGGCAAGAGCAAGGGCAAGGGGCAGCCTGGCAGGCAGGCGAGGCCTTGATAAGCCCCATTGTTCAGCTGGGCTGGCCCCAGGCAGGCCTGGCTGCAGGTGCCTTTCACCCAGGAGGGTGGGGGGAGGGCAAGGGCTCTGCTGGGCTCCCCAGGCCCCCCAGCTGCCTCCCCTGGGCTTTTCCGCTTTCAGGGCCTCTAAAGAAACAGTGCCATTTGGGTTCCGTGTCCCTCTGAGAAAAAGAGACACCAGTATTCTTAGTTTAGTCCAGTTACTGGGAAATCAGGGAAACCATCTCTCAGGAACCCCAACAAAGCATTTTAAAAGTAACATTTTTGGGGATTCCCCTGGTGGCACAGTGGTTAAGAATCTGCCTGCCAATGCAGGGGACACAGGTTCAAACCCGGGTCTGGGAAGATGCCACGTGCCACGGAGCAACTAAGCCCGTGCGCCACAACTACTGAGCCTGCGCTCTAGAGCCCGCAAGCCACAACTACTGAGCCTGCGTGCTGCAACTACTGAAGCCCGTGCACCTAGAGCCCATGCTCTGCAACAACAGAAGCCACCGCAGTGAGAAACCCGTGCACCACAACAGAGTAGCCCCCGCTCACTGCCACTAGAGAAAGCCTGTGTACAGCAGAGAAGACCCAGTGCAGATAAAAATAAATAAATAAATTCAGAAATAACATTTTTTAAGAGACAGATTTATCCACTTTTAAGCTTCCAAATGGAAAACGTAAAACTCAGCTCAAGGGCTTCCCTGGTGGCGCAGCGGTTGAGAGTCCGCCTGCCGATGCAGGGGACACGGGTTCGTGCCCCGGTCCGGGAAGATCCCA